GTTACATGCTGTTGAGTCATAGCGTCCCTATGAACAACAGCCTCAAACTCTGCTCTATCTTGTGTCAATTTTATTGTCTCTATCTCACCTACCCCCATTATCCCAGTCACCGAATCAATCCATCTTATCAAGGATTTTCCTCTCCTGCGCTGTCCCTCCAACCTCCCAAGCATGATGTCCCTAAGGACTGGTCCCTCCTTGCAACATGCCCAAAGTATGTCACATGAAGCTTCAGAATCCTTGCCTCCAAGGAGCAGCCTGGTATCACTCTCTCCAGGACAAATCTGTTCGTTCTCTCAGCAGTCCATGGTATATTCAATACTCCAACACCACAGCTCAGAGGCATCAATTCTCTTTCTCTCATCCCTAGTCATTGTCCAGCTTTCTGATGCATAGTAAGTAATTGCAAAGACCACCGTATCAGGCACGCCATAATAATCTGTCGCTAGAGATTATCAGAAATTCCGATACATGATTCAGGGGCCTGAATTGAGAAATTATATGTAGAGCTTTGTGGTTGCACATAGATCCATGAGAGCATATTGACATATAAACAAGTTTTGTTATTTTCCCTTCTTTTTTTTAGAAGATAGATTTTCAAAGTATTTCCTTGACCCGTGATACTATTCAGAAGCATGAAAGCATTTCTAGAGTTGAAGATAATCTATGCTCTTAATTAACCAGCCTTCAGCACATGTTTTCCATGTGTCTGACCCTGAATAGAGAAGGAATGGAGGTACAGGCGGTGCCCAGTTTAATAGCCAGATCCTTTTCTGAGAGTGCCTTTTATCGGTCTACATTCAAGCTCAGTGGCTGTTCAGTCAGAAATATGTCTCAGCCAACCCTCCAGCAGTTTTTTTGAGGCTGAAAATGCAGAGGAGACTGCTCATCTTTCTCCCTTGGGGCCACAGATATGGTGCAACCACCTAGGCAGAATCCCTGTGGACTCCAACACTTTCTGGGGTTTTATGGATTTCTCCCCCCCAAATTTTATTTGAATGAAAATTCAAATAACCTTAGGAAGCTCTGCTGGTCTAATAGCAAAAAGCTGCTCTGTAATCCCGAAGGCATGTGGTTTAAGACCGCCAGCTCCTCCGCAGGAGGATGGGCAGTCTGCTCAAGTGCAATTAACTGCCTCTGAAAACCCACAGCCTCTTCTAAATCCAGCCTGCACATCTGGCAGTTCTCTGTTGACATAGTATTCCAAACGCTTTTGGATAATTTTCAGCAGAATCTTGTTTGCATGTGATATTAATGATATTGGATAATTCCCGCACTCTGTTGGGTCACCTTTCTTTGGAATGGAAACAAATACCGATATTTTCCAGTCAGCTGGCCAGCTGGCTGTCCTTCAGATTTCTTGGCACAACTTAGCACATCCAGGGCAGCATCTGTTTGTTGAAATAAATCAGTTGTTGTGCTGTCAACTCCTGGAGCCTTGTTTTTTGCCAGTTCCTTCATAGCAACTTGAACTTCCTCCTTCATCACCATAGGTTCTTGCTCATATTTTATGAAATTCCTTTGTGTCAGCCAGTTCCTTCTGATACAGTGACTCTATGTACTCCTTCCGTCTTCTTTTGATACTTCCTGGATCATTTAACAGTCTACCCAAACTGCCTTTAAGTATTGCCATGTATAGCTTGAATTTGTTTTTCAACTCCTTCAGCTTAAGAAACACTGAGCGAGCCCAGCCCTTTTCATTTTCTGACTCCAGCTCCCTGCATAGTTCATTATAATATCTTGCTTTGTCTTCCCAAACTGCCTTTTGAAATTTTCTGTTCAGCTCTTTGATTTCTTGGTTTGTTTGGGTTTTTTTTTTGGGGGGGGGGTTTGTTTGTTTGTTTGTTTTAAATTTTTGTGTGAATGTACCGTCAAATCAGATCTGACTGGTACAGGAGGAGATTGCCCCTCCTTTTCCCGGCAGAGCATCTGGTGGACTTGAACCGTGTGCCTCTGGGATTGTAGTTGCAGCTCCTTGCCACTAGGCCACCAGAGCTCCCCAGCTCTTTGATTTCTTTAATTCTTCCTTTAGCTTTGGCTTCTCAGCGCTCTAATGCAGTACTCGGAGTCTCATCTGACATCCATCTTGGTCTTTTCTTCTTCTTTAGCCTTTGTAATGATCTTTTGCAAAGCGTATACACACCTAATAGAATATTTTGCAGCTGTAATGCATGCCACAACCAGGATGAACCTTGGAAATACTATGTTAATTATGATCAACTAGACACAGAGAGGGTGTTAGTTTTAATAGAATATTCTTTAAAAGACAAGCAATCATTTGTCTATTTGCTTTACAGAACAACTTGGAGTTTCTGTTCTGAACACTATCCTATAGTCATGTTAAATACCATAATGGTTACCTGTTATGTGCAATGGTTGGATGAGCTTCCAGATTGTTTCATGTTGGGAAGCAGGAGTGGCATCCACTTCCTAAACTAGGTGCCTCTGGAAGCTCTGCAAACTCTCTTATAAATGTACAGAAAAGATCTTAATCATAAAAAAAAGTTCAGGTCTTTTGTGCAAAATTTACTCTGAGTCATATTTGAGTTGACAACACTTCAACAGTGCTAAATGAGACTAGTTTTATCCCAGTGGTGGTTTCATCTATCAACATAACTAGTTATATCTTGGAGGAATATTCTTCCACTTTGCACATCACTCTGTGTCAATGTGCTGTATGGTAACCTGGGTTTGCTATGATGCTGAACCTGTTCCATGGGGATATCAAATACCAGAATGGTTTCCCATTGTGGACAGTGTTTGGTGGAGCTCCCAGTTGTAAAACTGGTTGAGAAGCAGGAGTGGCATCCACTACCTAAACCACATGCCTGTGGAAACTCTATGAACTTGGAGAAACAAAGATAGCTGTGGAAAGGCATTAGGTATTCTCTTCTTGGAGTCACTATGAGTTGATCTTGACTCGACGTCAATCAACAACAGACACAGAGAAACAAATAGTGTACAGCTTTGTTTACATGAGGCACCTCAGTAGACAAATTTATAGAGACAGAAAGTAGACTAGATATTATCAGGCATGGGAAGAAGGGGAAATAGGAAGCTATTGTTTTCCAGGTGTAGTATCTTGCCTTTGCGTCTGTTTTGACTCCCAGGACAGAGTAGCATGGCCCCACAGGGTTTCTGACTTGGAAACAACCAGTGACCCTCAGATTGCCTTCAGGTCGGACTACCAGCTGCTAACTTTAGAGATGGACAGATTGAAGATCAGCAGGTGATCTAGCAGGCCACTAGCTCAGGTCCAAAGATTCAGAGGTCAGGTGATGACAACAGAGAAGCCAGACAACAGCAGAGAGCTTTACCATTCTACCCATTCATTTTTGATGCATGCCATACACAAACCCCTGAGCAAGCTTTCTGATCATGTTGCTGGTAGCAGATGTCATCACACACAAGATTCCATCAGGTCACCTTGTTATAGCTGCATTGTAACTGTCAAACCAGAAAATCATGGGCAGACAGGTTGACAGCAGCCTTCATTCACAAGGCTGTAGACCTTTACAGAAGCAGACTGCCCCTTCTTTTTCCCACAGGTTAGTTGGTGGGTCCAAACTGATAACCTTTCTGTAGGAGACAGTCACTTTACCCACTGCACCACCATGCCTCCATAAGATGGTAAAAAACCCCTAGAAATAAATAGCAGTGGTGTTTATTGGGTGGGTGTATTTTAACAAATCCTCAAAATTATTAATATTGTTATTGTTGTTATATTGACAAGTGCCATCAAGTATGCCTCGTAGCAAACCTGTGAACAACTGATCTGAACCTTTTCCCATCCCCTGCCATCTTCACACTTCCTGACACACTGGAGCCCATTGCAGCAGTCACCATGTCAGTCTACCTGGTTGAGGGTCTTCCTCTCCTTCCCTGACCCTCCAACCTTCCCAGCATCATGTCCTTCTCCAAGGAATAGCCCCTCCTAGCAACATGCCCAAAGTGTGTAAGGCAAAGCCTCATCATTCTTGCCTCCAAAGAGCACTCTGGCTGCACCCTCTCCAAGAAATATCTATTGGTCCATGGCCTTTTCAGTGTAAGCGTCATATAAATGTTACCACAGTTTAAAAAAATGAAAATGCCAACTAGAAATCACTCCTTTCTTATTCCTGACCCACCCTAGCCATAGAGCTATATCCACAGACCTAACTTTTCTATTTCCAGTGCAGCTGCCTTTGAAGAGCACAGGTTTGAACTGTGTGGGTCTGCGTACATAATGGTTTTTCTATCTCTGTTGTTTTGTTCTGTTTGTTGTGTTGGGGTTTTGGGGTTTTTTTTCCCTTTTTTGTATACTCAAATTTTAAAAAACCAAAACACATCAAAAAGCATAAGTCACTATAACATGTTTCAGTTTAAAAAGTACTCTTCTGTGGTCTTCAAGTAGTTTTCATGATAGTTAGTACAATTATCCCAACCATGAGTGACACCATAGAGCCTGTATTAGATGCTTTAGGTGATGCTGCGAGTACTCCCAGGAGGACAGTCTTGACAGTACAAGTACAAGCCACATTGCGATCACGAAGATTCAGGTTCAGCAGCTGTAGTGCCCTCCACTTCAAGAGATTTTAATCCAACGTAAGAACCATTATAAAAAGGAATGAAATTTATGAACCAGCCACTGCAGCTGTGTCACAGACATGGGAACCTTGCACCTTCTGTACAATGCTTCATGGTATCATGAAAATGCTGCTTTCATGTGGGTGCGGTATATAGTTCCTACATGAAAAAATGTCTTTATCATTTGTTCACGTTCTTATAATGTTCCCAGTCAACAGTGGGCTGTAATCTCTGGGAAAGTCAAGTGAGAAACAGATTGTCACCTCAAGAGAAGGAGAGGTCAGCAACTCAAACCCCTACATAAATCAAGGATTAGCTGTACATGGAATCAATATTTGGTCTTTTGTGATTGGCTTAATTTGCTGGGGGATAATATTTTCAAGATTATTAACATATTTTTCCTTTTAACAGATCAGCTTTGAATTTTAGAAACAATGGAACAGTCTCAGGGAACAGTCCAAAGAATTCTTCTAGAACCCTACAAATACTTACTTCAGTTACCAGGTAACTATGCCATTAACAGTCTGTATAATATGTATATAACAGATGGTCATTCAGCTATGACCAAGTAGCTCTGGACCTAACGGTGAAGGAGCTGCACTGTCAATCGAAAAGTTGTTGTTATATGCCATCAAGTCATCTGTGACTCACAGCAGCCCTATGTATACTCTGAACCCTATCCTATCCTAAGCCAGTCTCACTGACTCGTAACACACCAAATCCTTTCGCGCCAGTTATTGTGTCACTGCATCTCATCCAGGCTCTTCCTCTCCTGGGCTGTCCCTCCTCCCTTCCAAGCTTAATAATGTTCTTCTCCAAAGACTGGTTCCTCCTGGCCACGTATGCCCAAAGTATATGAGATGGAGCTTCAAAATCCTTGCCTCCAGGGGAGCTCTGGTGGCCTAGTGGCAAGGAGCTGCAACTACAATCCCAGAGGTGCACGGTTCGAATCCACCAGATGCTCTGCCAGGGAAGGAGGGACAATCTCCTCCTGTACCAGTCAGATCTGATTTGACAGTACACTCACACAAAAATAATAAAATAAAATTTTTTAAAAAATCCTTGCTTCCAAGAAACTTGATTTCACCCTCTCCAGGACAGATCTGTTTGTTCTCTTGATGGTCCAAAGTATGTTATATACTCTTCTCCAGCACCACAACTCAAAAGCATCAATTCTTCTGTCATTCTTAGTCATTGTCCAGCTCTCTGATGCATAGCATATAATTATGAAGACCATGGCTTGGATCAGGCACACCTTAATGTCATTGCACTTCAGCACTCTGGAGAGGTCCCTAACAGCCGACTTCCCCCATACAGTTTGTCTTTTGACTCCTTGACTGCTGATGCCAAGAATGTTGTTTGTGGAGCTGAGCAAGCTGAAATTTTTTAACAACTTCAATCTCTTCTCCACCCATCAGTGTACCACACAATATGGATGCTACATATCTTTCTCCATATGTGAGGAAGTTATGGAAATTTATATAACAACAAAAAGCTTCTCATACCCCCTGTGTACAACTTTTCCATTATCATACATATTATCTTTCTTAGTAGTTCTTTTGGGAGCAAATACTTAGAGGCCACTTTATTCAGAAGCATATTCTTAGCTGCACAGAGTGATCCCAGTTATGGTGACCCACATGTGCAGAACTGCTCAGGACTCTCCCAGCAGTGAACTTCCAGAAACAGACCACTAGGCCTGCCTCACAAGGAGCCTCTGGAAGTCCAGCCACAAGTGTTGGATCCTTTCTAGCAAAGTAACATGCCTGTGCCACTGAGGAACACAGCTCACCCTAATTCCTGCATAAGGAGGTATTAGTATACAGGGTTTCTTACGTACTAATCATACAAGTGTGTACAGTTTTGTTATATATTCCTGTTTTTCAAAACTTTTGAAAGCCTGAAAAACCATAACAAGTAAAACTCTATAAGTATGTTGTTTTTTGTTACTGAGTGCCATTGCATTAGTAACTCGAGCTCACCATGTCATAGCCATGCATGAACCTTCCACAGCTTCAATCTCCACTGTGTGTAAGCCCTTCATTGCTGTCATGCTGTCAGTCCATCTCGTTAGGGGACTTCTGGCCCTTCCCTGACCCTGCTGCTTTCCCAGCATGATAGCCCCTTCTAAAGCCCCTCCTGACAGCAGGCCCAAAATATGTGAAAAGAAAAGTCTTAACATTTTTGCTTCTAAGGAGTACTCTGGCTATACATTTTCCACCACATATTTGTTTGTTCTTCTGACAGTCCATGGTATATTCAGTACCCTCCAACAACACAATTCGAAGGCAGCAGTTCTTTTTTATTTTATTTTTTTTACTTTTTCCTTTTTTTTAAAATTAATACTCTAACAAAAGTTTACAGAAAACTTGGATTTCCATTCATTAATTGTTGCTCATTTTCTTCCTTCCCTACCCTCCCCCCAGTTCATGTTTTTCTTTAAAAATATTCTTTCGTTGTTGCACAATTTCCTCCCTTACTCTGCCCCCCAGTCCACTTTTCTGTGCATCTTATTCTGGACTGTTGTCTTGCACATAATACCTAGTCATATATTCCTTTTAAACAGTTCTTTCCCTGATATGTTTCAATGCAGTGTTCATTATTTATCCCCTTTTCTTAGTTTCTCCCTTCCCCAATGTCAGTCCTGTTTTTATAAGTGGCATTATGCAGTGTTTGTCCTTTTCTGACTGAGATATTTCACTCTACATAATGTCCTCTAGGGTCACCCATCTTGTATAATATTTTATTAGTTCTTTGTTTTTCAATGCTGCGTTGTATTCCATTGTGTGAATATACCATGCATTCATACTGTGCATTTATTTGTTGATGGACACGTCCATCTCTGCGCTTTTGAACAACTCAGGAGTAAACATAGGTGTGCATATATCTGTTTGGGTGGCAATTCTGGTTTCTTTAGGATATATTCCCAGTAGTGCAATTGCTGGATCATATGGTACTTCTATTTCTGAAAAAGTGCCATACTGCCTTCTATAATGGTTGCACCATTTTACACTCCCACCAAAATTTAATAAGGGTTCTAATTTCTCCACAACCTTGCCAATGTTTGTTGGTTGTGGCAGCAGTGCTTTGCTCTTCCTTACTTGGTATCTGACTTTCACATACATAGGAAGCAATTTAAAATACTTTAACTTAAAAAAAAACTTGAATCAGGTGCACCTTAGTTAAATTGACATCTTTACTCTTGCACATTAAAGAGGTCCTTGACAGCCGGTGTGAGTCAATGCAATGCATGATTTGATTTCTTGGCTGCTGATTACATGGGTACCAATTGTGGATTCAGTAAATCTTGCTTCTTTCCTCGGTGTTGAGATGTAATCCATATTGAAGGCTGTGTTTTTTTTTCTCTTCTGCAAAGTGCTTCAGGTCCTTTTCACATTTAGCAGCCAAAGTTGTGTCAACTACGTAACACAAATTGTTGATGAGTCTTCCTCAAATTCTGACGCCTCTCAAAAGCTGTGGAGTTGGAACCTCTTCATAGCGACCCTTCAGAGGGTTTTCAAGGCTGGAAACCAACAGAAGGAGATTACCCATCTTTCCGCCACAGAGCAGCTAGTGCGTTTGAACAGCCAGAGAGATGCTGCCTATGAGTTAGTGTAACCCCCTGCAGACCACAACAGTGGTGGTTGTTGTATATCATCGATTCTGAACTAGCACTGAGCTGACTTTCGAGCGGATTTTCAGAAGCAGGATAAGCACGCTGGAGGAGATTGCCCACCTTTGTCCTGCAGAGTACCTGGTGGATTTGAATCACATGTCTTCAGGTTGGCAGTGCAGCTCCTTGCCACACCAGAGGTTCCCCACAGCTTCTCAAATTACTAGCTCAGCATCCCATTAAAAAGTCCTGGTGCAAAGATACAACCTTGAGCCATATTTTCTCTGATTTTTAAAGCATGTATGATAGTTTCTTGTGCTTTTTAAAGGACTGCTTCTTGGTCTTTATACAGTTTCTACATAAGCACAGTTAATTATTCTAAGAGTCCCATTTTTCTCAATGTTACCCATAATTGATTATGAGCCACACAGTTGAATGCCTTGTGTAGTCAAGTAAAACATAAGTAAACATCTTTTCTAGTATTCTGGTATTCTTTGGTCAAGATCCATCTGATACCAGCAATGGTCTCTCCTAAATCCAGCTTGGCGATGTACTGGTTCCATCCTTTTTTAAATAGCATTTAGCAAGATTTTACTTGCATGTGATACTAATGATCCTGTTTGATAACTTCTGCATTCCATTGGGTCATCTCTTTTGAAATGAGAATAAATACAAATCTCTTCCAGTCAGTTGACTAAGTAGCTGTCTCCCAAATTTCCTGGCATAGACTAGTGAGTGTGACCAGAGGTGCATCTGTGTGTTGAAATAGCTCTGTCAATGTTGCATCAGTTTCTGGAGCTGTGTATCTTTGGCAGTATTCCAATGCAGAATGACCCTCTAATATCGATACTGTTGTCGCTTGATGATATACCGCTCTTACTTCATCACTTCTTCTTTGTACTTTAGTTTCAAGGTCTCTTCTGGAACCCTTGTGATCTTATCTTTCTTGTCTTTGTAATGACCTTGCCTTTCTACATGAATGATGTATGTCCTTTATATCCTTCCACAGCTGGTCTAGTCTTTGATAATTAGTGTTAGTACATCAAATCCATTGTTGAGATGGCTTTCAAACCCAGAGTCATAAATGTGTTTTCATTTTATTCCGTTTTGATTTGCACTTACACATGAATAATTGATAGTCTGTTCCATAGTAAGCTCCTGACCTTGTTTTGACTGCTGATACTGAGCATTTCCACTGATAGTGGCACAGATGTAGTCTCATGGATTGCTGTGTAGTCCAGGCAAGGTCCATGAGTATATAGTCACTGTCCATGTTTGTTAAAGAAGAAAGTATATGCAGTGAAGAAAGTATTGATTGTACAAAATTCTGTCCTATGATTTCCAGCTCATTTCTGTCACTAAGCCATATTTTCCAACCACCAGTCCTCCTCTGTTTCCATCTTTTGCATTCTAGTTACCAGTTATCATTAGTGCATCTTAATTGTGTGTTTGTTCCACTTCAAATTGCAAAAGTTGTCCGAAATCTTTAGTGTCTTTTATCTTTGACTTTAATGGTGAGTGCATCTATTATGAATAATGGTCATCTTGTCTATGCATGTGGCTATTATACCATCACTGACAGCATTATTTTTGAGGACACATCTTAAAATTATCTCTTAGTGACAAAAATTACTCCATTGATATTTAGTTTGTCTTCTGCCACTGTAGATGGTAAAATTACCAGATTTGAATGGCAAACCTCATCTCAGCTTACTAATGTTAGCATGCTGTCTGTATGATCTCCATGTTCTTTTTCACAATTTCCAGTTTTGCCAAAGATAACAGTCCAAGATAAAGCCAAGGTCCAAGCCAGGATCTTTTCCATTGCTTTGTATGTATGCTGAAAGTTGTATAGTAAATAAAGATGACAGAAAAATTGATAACTTTGAGTTGTGGTGTTGGAGAAAAGTATTGAATATCCCATGGATTTCAAAGAGAACAAACAAGTACGTCTGAAAGGAAATACAACCTGTGTGCTCTTTACGGTCAAGGATGGTGAAACTGATTTAAGCATGTTAGGAGGGGCCAGTCTTCGGCGAGAGCCATCATGCTGGGGGAGAGCTGGAGGGGCAAAGAAAGAGAGGAGGACCCTCAGCAAAGTGGAATGCCTCAGCAGCACATAGCACCATTATCATACTGTTTAAGAAAAGACTGTTTTCTGGTGGCCTAGTGGCAAGAAGCTGCACTGCAATCCTGAACGCCTGCGGTTTGAATCCGTCAGATGCTAGAGAAGGAGTGGCGGTCTCCTCCTGTGCCAGTTGGATCTGATTCGATGGCACACAACAAGGAAAAAAAACAAGAAAAGACTAAGTTTTCTATGTAACATCAAGAAGTAAAAAGAGATAAATATCTTTCTATGTGGATTCCTCTTCAGAATCTATTTTGCTGAGTTGTGCATTTTACATATAGCCTAGATCAGCCCATGTTTAACTGGAAAGTAGATCAGAAGTAGAAATATGTCATTGCTCCCCAGACTATAATATACGTAGAAGTTAGTAGGCAGGAGGTAATGTTCTCCAGCCCTGAGAGGCAACTTCCCTTCTGTATTTCTCACAAAATGTGAACATTATTTCTGGTCTGACAGTTGATGAGAGTCTGTTTATGTCCTTGATGTTGAGTGGCTTGTGCAGAAAGGACAAAAATAGGACATAATTTTTTTTCCCCCAGAAGAAATAAGTCCACTCTAGTTTGTTCTAGTATCCTTTTGAATTTTTTCTTCTACTTTTTAAGGAAGTAGAATAAATCTATGTAAGAAGTTTAATATGCTAATCTAAGAGAATTCATTTGACTGTATAGATCACTACAAACTGTGGCTAACTCTGAGAAGAAAGGGAATCCCAGAACACTTGATTGTGCGTATGTGAAACCTATAGTTGGACCAGGAAGCAGTTGTCAGAACAAAGCAAGGAAACACTGCATGGTTCAAAATTGGGAAAGGTCTGTGCCAAGGATGTGTCCTATCTCCATATCTTTTCAGTCTATAAATGGAACAGATTATCCAGGAGGCTGGGCTCTGTGAAGAGAAATGTGGCATCAGAATTGGAGTTAGACTCATCAGCTATCTGCATTATGTGGATAACACAGCCTTGCTTGCTGAAACTGAGGAGGACCTGAAGTGCTTGCTGCAAAAGGTCAAGGACTGCAGCCTTCAATATGGATTGAAGCTCGACATCAAGCAAATATTCTCACCACTAGCCAGTTGGCAGCATCATGCTAGATGGTGAAGAGATTAACAGCTTCAGTTTGCTTGGCTCTACAATCAACACTTGGTACCAGCAGACATTTCACTGGAAAAGTCTGCTGTCAGAGACCTCTCCAAAGTACTGAAGAGCAACGATGTCAATCTGGAAACTAAGGTATGCCTGGTACAGGCCATAGGTTTTGCAATTACTTGCTTTGCTTCAGAAAGCTGGACAGTGACTAGGGATGATAGAAGGAGAATTGATGCCTTTGAGCTGTGGTGCTGGAGAAGAGTATTGAATGGACTGCTAGGAAAACAAACAAGTTCATCCTGGACAGGGTGAAGTCAGGCTTCTCCTTTGAGGCAAGTATTCTGAAGCTCCGCCTCACATACTTTGGACATGTTGCAAGGACGGACCAGTACTTGGAGAGGGACTTCATGCTTGGAAAGATGGAGGGACAGAGAAAGAGAGGAAGACCCTCGATGAGATGGGTTGATTCAGTGACTGGGGTAATGGGGGTAGGTGTGTTGGAAACAATAAGATTGGCACAGAATAGGGCAGGGTTTAAGGCTGTTGTACATAGGGGTCACTGTGAGTCACAGGCAATCAATAGACAGCACACAACAACAAGAGAATTCTAACGTTAAAATAATTTTGTCAGTGTAGAGAAAATACACTCTTCATTAGATTTCTAAACTACACTTTTGATGTATCATCTCAGTAAGGAGACATCTTACAGAGTGATAGAAAAAAAAGAAGAAAGTGCTTTTGTTTGGAGAATCTTTTATGAACCCACTTTTTTTTGATCCCTCATCTGAGGTTAGGACTTTACTGTGCAGTTACTTTATTACTTTTTTTAACTTAATGTTTTAAATTGTGGTTTGAATGACAGCACAAGCTTGTTTTCCAGTCATAAACATTTGGTTTAGGGCACTATTTATGATAGCCACATTGTAACTGCTCTCTGTAGAACAGCAATAATGTTTATAAGCATCTCTTAATAGGGTGGGGTTTTTTCTTGTTGTTGGGTTTGTTTGGTTTTTTTTCATTTCTTATTAGTTTTTTTGTCAGTCTGAATATTTTCCTTAGTAAAATGTCTTTTACGTCCTCTATTCCATTTTTTTAATTGGTGTGTTTCCATTTTTGTTGAGGTGTTGTAGTTTACTGTAAATTTTAGATATTAGTCCATTTTCAAATAATGTCATTACCAAGTATTTTTCCCTCATTGTGTAGCATCTCTGTTTCACCTTTTAGAGCAAGCTTTTGTTCTACACGTAATTTCATTTCTACAAGGTCTCACTCATCTAGTTTCTCTTGAACTGTGTATTTTTGGTTATGCCTCATAGTCTTAAGAATGCCATAGATTAGGCCCTCTAATACTGCCCCTGGTTTTTCCTGTAATGATGTTTATAGTTTGGGGTTTTGCATATTGGTCCTTGATGAGCATTAACTTTTAACAGGAAACTCAGGGTAGTTGAGCTGGTTGTGGTTTTTAATCAGCCATTTCTTTGTATTTGGGCTAAAATAACTTCTGGTTGTAAAGGCCTCTCATAAGCTCTCCCAAGTAAGAAAATATAATGTTGAAAAACTAATGGCTGTAGTCAAAATAAAGAGATTAGCTTTGGACTAAACTTGAGATGTTAAAAGGAACTACTTTCATGCATGGCAGTGTCATTTTAAAAAAAATAAGAAGCAGAGCAGTTTACTCTGTAAAATCTCTCCTTTGAGAGGTCTTTTCACAAGGTAGTAATTCGGTACCAAAATAGAGTTCATTAAAAATAGCTACCTTGCTTTCTAAAAATGAGGAGAAACATGAATCACTTGCTACAGAAGATCAAGAACTTCTGCAGCAAGTGTTTCTTGTCTTCATCAGTATGGATTGCATCTCAGCATCAAGAAAACAAAGGTCTTGATCAGTGAGCAACATCATGATAGACGGAGAAAGGATTGAAACTGTCACTGATTTCATTTTATTTGGATCCACAATCAACACCTCTGATACCAACACTCAGGCGATCAGAAAGACATACATACTGCTTTGGGCAAGTCCACTGTCAGGGACTTCTCCAAAATACTGAAGAGCAATGATGTTATTTTGAAGACAAAGGTGCACCTGGTTCAGATCATGGCCTTTTCATTCACTTGCTATGCGTCCGAGAGCTGGACAGGGAGTAAGGATAAAAAAGGGATTAATGCCTTTGAGTTATAGTGTTAGAGAAAAATGCTGCATATCTCATGGACTGTTGAAAAAGCAAACAGATAGGTGTTGGGAAAAGTGCAGCCAGAGTGTTCCTTGGAGGCAAGGGTGGCAGAGATGGCTGTTATACTTTGGCCATGTTGCTTGGAAAGGCTGTTCCTTGTAGAGAGAGACCATGCTTGGAAAGGCGAAAGGTCAACAAAAGAGAAGATCCCCAGTGAGATGGATTTTCACTGCAACTTTAGCAATAGGCTCAAGATGATAAGAATGGCACAGGATAGGACAGGGTTGAGATCTGTTCATAACATTGCTATGAATCGTGCCAAATAACAACCATTCTCTGCATACTGGTCAAGTTAGAATAGTTCTAAACAAAGTTGTTGTTGTTGTTTGGTGCTGTCAAGTCGTAGATGACTCATAGTGACCCTATGAACGAACGGCCTGAGCACTGTTCGGACATAGAGTATCCGGAGACAAGCCATTTCAGAAGTGGATGCCGCTCCTACTTCCAGGCTTATTTTAGTCAGGAAGCTCCAGCCAACACTATCCACCATGGGTATCCATTACCACGATTGGCACATCACTGTCACAGTGTTCAGCATCACAGCAACATGAGTTACCTCTCTACAGCAACGCACAGATCAATGCTATACCACCTGGTTTGCCAGTGCCAATTAACTGCCATTAACTAGGCTACTTTCCTGTTTGGGTTTGGGGTTTTTAAAAAAAATAAGATAGAGACTGTGACTCCTACTTGTCAGTTCTAGTTTCAAAAGTGTTCTATGATATATAAACTTAAAATAAATTGAAAGAAGTAGATCAGTAAGCAAGCCACTGGTGTGCTGTCAAATCTTTTTGCTTACCCTTACAACTGCTTTGTGGGGTGTGGCCTTCAGGAGGTCAGAGCATGAGTAAAGGACAGCAGGCTCTGCTTGGGTAACAGATTGATGGGTCTGGATTTAATCTCTCTATTCAATTGTGGAAGAGATCTCTAAATGTGTTTCTTGTAGTTTAATTTCTAATTTTACTCAGATTTGTTCTTTTGTTGTAGGTAAGCAAGTGAGAACCAAACTTTCACAGGCTTTTAATCATTGGCTGAAAGTTCCAGAAGATAAACTACAGGTACTTAAACAATTCTGCTCTTATTCCTAGTCCCCCAGGAAATAGTAGAAATACACTCAGTTGTTGATGTTCTTTGATGCAGAATATTATTTTCTTTTTAAGTTGATAATCATTCATTATAAAAATTGAAGACAGCTGAATTTTTGAGAATGTATGATTATTTCAAGTCTGTGTTGAGTGAATAGTTGAAGTAAAGACAAACTATCCATTGTCTTTTTGTCAGATCATCATTGAGGTAACAGAAATGCTGCACAATGCCAGTTTACTCATAGATGACATCGAAGACAACTCGAAACTTCGGCGTGGCTTTCCTGTGGCACACAGCATCTATGGGATTCCATCTGTCATCAATTCTGCTAATTATGTGTATTTCCTCGGGTTAGAGAAAGTTTTGACCCTTGATCACCCAGAGGCTGTGAAGCTTTTTACCCGCCAGCTCTTAGAACTTCACCAGGGTCAAGGCCTGGACATCTATTGGCGGGACAATTACGTGTGTCCCACAGAGGAAGAGTACAAAACCATGGTGCTTCAGAAGACCGGCGGGCTGTTTGGGTTAGCTGTGGGTCTCATGCAGCTGTTTTCTGATTACAAAGAAGATTTAAAGCCACTGTTAGATACACTTGGGCTCTTTTTCCAGATTAGGGATGATTATGCCAACCTACATTCTAAAGAATACAGTGAAAACAAAAGTTTTTGTGAAGATATAACAGAAGGAAAATTCTCCTTTCCTACCATCCATGCTATTTGGTCGAGACCTGAAAGTACCCAGGTACAGAATATCCTGCGTCAGAGAACTGAGAATGTAGATATTAAAAAATACTGTGTGCATTATCTGGAGAATGTAGGGTCTTTCAGGTACACACAGAACACTTTGAAAGAGCTTGAGTCTAAAGCCTATAAGCAAATCGATGCTCGAGGTGGGAATCCTGAGCTCACAGGGCTAATAAAGCATTTAAGTAAGATGTTTGAAGAAGAAAACTAATGAGAGTAAGGCCTTTTGATTGGGCCATATAACTTACTATTATTCTATCATTTTTGTCTTTTAGCATATCACCTTCTAAAATGATTGGCCCTGGTAGTTAGTCTCAGGCACTGAGTTGGGGTGATGAGAATCAGGCTGCGTCCACTTGGAGCCTCTGATAGTCATCACATAAGGGGTGGAAGACATGATGGGACCACCCTGACATAACCATGGGTGGGATGGCTGATGTACCGCAGTGGGGCATTGTGACCTGTCTGTCCTCCTCCCATGAATGGTCTGTTGATGCTGTCAATAAAGACTTCACCTTCCAGGAGGTTGGGTTTTCCCCCCCATATGCTTCCTAATTATGGACACTTCCTAAAACAAAGGGACAACTTTGATCCAGTTTCCTTATCTGACTAGCCTGAGCACTGTAGGAACCCTGTTGCTTTAGAATTTCTCATTCTCCCCTCTGAGAACTCCCCTGCACAGTAAGCCCTTTGGTCCTTCTACTTATCCCTTTTTTTTTTCTTTTTTTCTCCCCACCTCCAACCCCTTCAAATTCTGGGCTTCAGCTAGCGAGTAATTGTCACTCAGTAATTGTCAGATACTTGCCTGAATCCAAGGAACCCTCAAGGCATGGCTGTTAAACACTCAGGCTGCCAGCTGTAACTAGGAGGTGCAAACTTTCCCTGCAGTTGCTCCTGAAAAGAGAACCACCCAGAAAACCTGGAGAATTCTTCCTGCCTTAGACTCTGGAACACCCGCAGCAGCCCACGTCCCCCTTCCTTCTACCGGGATGTACCTGTATGCCCCCAAATAACCACGTCTTGGTTACAGTGCTGTGAAAGACAGTTGAACACAAGAGGCTAGCCCGGTGCCCTGGGATGGGGAACGGGGGGTGCCTTTGTACATTATTCTGTTTGCACATCATTCCTAGTGAAAGTCATAAAAAGGAGAAATGCCCTTTTCCTTCCCTCTCCTGTCATGACCACCTTGAAAGCTTGCTTGAATGAAAAGGGAAGTAGGTGCCTCTAATCTATGATTAAAGGAAAGAAAAAAGTGTTAACACATGATCTAGGCCTTGCTGAAAAGGTGCCAAAGACTATACTGTCTACACTGTTGAGCTTAGAGTGTCTTAACCCCTACTTAATCACCAGTTAGGAAATCAAAGGACATATTGCATTGGAAAAATCTGCTATCAGAAACCACTCTATAGAGTACTGAAGAGCAACGATGTCAGTCTGGAGGCAGGTGCACCTAACCCAGGCCATGCTCTTTATGACTACTTGCTATCCTTCAGAGAACTGAACAATAACTAAGGATGATAGAAGAAGAATCAGTGTCTTTAAGTTGTGCTGGAGAAGAGTGTTGAACATATACTATGGACTGCCACAAGTATAAACAGGTCCACCTTAGGGTGAAACCAGGCTGTTGCCTGGAGGGAAGGATTTTGAAGCTCCATCTCACATACTTGGGCACATGGCCAGGAGGGACCAGTCCTTGGAGAAGAGCATCATACTTGGAAGGGTGGAGGGACAGTGCAGGAGAGAAGACCCAGGGTGAAATGGATTAACTCAGTGATTGGAGAAATGGGATTAGGTCTGTCAGATATGATGAGGTTGGCTCAGGACGGCAGAATTCAGATCTATTGTACATAAGGTCACTATGAGTCGCAGACAACTGGACCACACATAATCACCCTTGCTATTGGATAAGGATGGGGAGCTCTGGTGATATGCCCCTGGGGAGTTGAGCCTTAAGGGCCATGCTTTTGGCAGTTCAAATCCAGCATCAGCTTTAGAGGAGAAAAATGGGCATTCTTTCCCTTTGCTGTTTACAGCCTTGAAAACCTGCTGCAGAGTCAGTTCTGAGTTGGTTTTGACTCCTGGACATGGACTTTGTAACCCTAACTTAACCCTTTTATATAAGGGTTAGCCCAAGGCCACAAGCCATTCTGTGGCCCAGTTGGTGGGGAAAAAACATGCATACTGTAGTTAAATTAAAAATCACTAATTGCTATATTAGAAATATTGTTAACCTTCCAAAGGGAAAGTTTATGTTTCCTTAGAAATATTTGCTTAATTGGCTCTATAATGTTTTACCTGGGATCCAATCACTATTTAGCGAACTCTGGTGGCCATATGGCAAGGAGTTGCACTGCCAGCCCAAAGGTAGGAGGTTCAAATCAATTATCTACAGGAGAAAGGCAGTTTCCTCCCATGTGATTTATAACCTCTGAAAATCCACTAGAGGGTCAGTTAAGAGTTGGTTCCAACTTGACAGCACATAACAACAGCATAGTAACTTAATCTTCTGTTGATAATGATAGCCCTTGTAAATAGCCTAGGTATTTTTGTGACTAGAAATGTGAACTTGATGTTTATGCCCCTATATATCTGCAAAATCCTGCCGAAGATTATCCATAAACTACTGGAACAGTACATGGATAGAGAACTACCAGAAATACAAGCTGGGTTTAGAAGAGGCTGTGGCACTAGAGACATCACCACCAATGTCAGATGGATCTTGGAAGAAAGCAAAGTACCGGAGGGATGTCTATCTGTTACATTGACTATGCAAAGGCATTTGACTGTGTGGATCACAAATTGTGGTTAACCTTGAGAAGAATGGGAATCCCATAACACTTTGTGTGCTCATGAGAAACCAATACTTAGGCTGGAAGCAGTCCTCCGGACAGAGCGGGGAAACACTGCGTGGTTCAAAATCAGGAAAGGAGTGCATTAGGGATGCATCCTGTCCCTATACCTTTTCAATCTGTATGCAGAACAGTTCATTCGGGGGGCTGGGCTTTATGAGGAGTAATGTGGCATCAGGAGTGAAGATTCATCAACAACCTGTGTTATGCAGTTGACACAGCATTGCTTGCTGAAACTGAAGAGCTTGTTTGTAGAAGGTCAAGGACTAGTCTCCTATATGGACTGAAGCTCAACATTAAAACACAAAAGATTCTCACCACTGGGCCACGTGGCAGCACCATGATGAATAAACAGATTGAGGTCATTAACGGTTACAGCTTGTTCGGCTCCACAATCGACACTCTTGGCACCATCTGTCAGGAAATCAAAAGACAAATTGCATTATGTAAATCTTGTCAGGGACTTTTCCAGAGTACTGAGAAGTAATGATGTCAGTCTAGAGAGTTACCTGCTATGCATCAGAGAGCTGGATGACTAAGGAGGACAGAAAAAGAATTGATGCCATTGAATTGTGCTGGAGAAGAGTCTTAAATATACTGTGTACCACCAAGAAAACAAATAGGTCTGTCTGGCAGAAAGTGAAACCAAATTTCTCCTTGGAGGTTAGGATTTTGAAGCTCTGCCTTACATACTTTGGGCACATGGCCAGGAGGGACCGGTCCTTGGAGAAGGACATCATGCTCAGAAGGGTGGAAGGACAGCACAGAAGAGGAAGACCCCAGCCAGATAAGATGGATTGATACAGTGACTAGAGCAATGGGGGTGGGGGTGTCAAGCAGGCTTCAGAGCTATTGTACATAGGGTCACTATGAGTCACAGGCAAGTCTTTGGCACATAACAACAACATACCATGCTTGGAAGGATCAAGGAACAGCACAGGAAAGGATGACCCCAGATGAGATGGATTGACATAGTAAATGGGGTAATGAGGGTAAGTGTGGCAGAGACAGACTGGCTCAGGATAGAACAGAGTGCAGAGTAATTGCATTTGGAGTTGCTGTGAGTTGTCATCGACTTAAGAGTTGACTTAATGGCACACATGACCACAATGTTAAACAAAAACATTATTCTAAAAATTCTAATTCTGATTTTATAGGCAGAAAGAAAAGTCTTTACCCTTAAGTGTAACAATTGGCCAAGAGCCCTGATAGCTTAGTGCCTAAGAGCCCAGCTGCTAACTGAAGGTTTGGCAGTACAAACCCACCAGTTCATGAAAAACTATGTGACAGCGGCAATCTGTTTCTTAAGAGTACAACTTTGGGGACCCAGTGAAACAATTCTGTCCTGTGGGTCACTGTGATTTGTAATTGGCAGCAGTGTGTTTTTATGGATATAAAGATTGCTAAAGTATATTCTTTATGTCATCCATTTAATTTTAACCTAGTGCTTCTATGATGATTTTTTTTTATTCTAAATAAGTTCCTTGTTAATGTGGTGGTGATATGTGTCGAGTTGATGCTAATTCATAGTGACACTATGTACCACAGCTCTGAACCCTGCTCTATCCTGAGCCAACTTTATTGTCTCTGATGCACCTATCCCCTATGCACCTAAGTCAATCCGTCTCATCCAGGGTCTTCCTGTCTTGTGCTGTCCCTTTACCCTCCCAAGCATGACGTCCCTCTCCAAGGACTGGTCCCTCCTTGCAACACCCCCAAAGTATATCAGATGGAGCTTCAAAATCCTTGCTTCAAAGGAGCAGCCTGATTTCACCCTCTCCAGGACAGACTTGATTGTTCTCCTAGCAGTCTGTAGTATATTCAGTGCTCTTCTCCAAAACCACAGTTCAAAGGTATGTATTCTCTATTATCCCTAGTCAATGTCCAGCTTTCTGATGTATAGAAAGTAATGGCAAAGACTATGACCTGGATCAGGCACACCTTAGTCTCCAGACTGATGTTGTTGCTCTTCAGTACTCTGGAAAGGTCCCTGACAACAGACTTTACCAAAGCAATTAGTCTTTTGATTTCCTGGCTGCTGGTACAAAGGGTATTTCTTGTGGAGCCAAACAAACTGAAGCTATTAACAATCTCAGTCTCCTAACCAATTAGACTATCATCATCCTGCCAGTTGGCCTAGTAGTGAGAATCTTTGTTTTCTTGATGTTGAGCTTCAATCCATATTGAAAGATGCAGTCCTTGATGTTCTGCACCAAATGCCTCAGATCCTCCTCAGTTTTGGCAAGCAGGGTTGTGTGATCTGCGTAACACAGGTCATTGATGAGTCTTCCTCCAATCCTGATGCCACATTTCTCCTCATAGATGATCTGTTCTGCATATAGGTTGAAAAGATAAGGAAATA